AGGGGAGGCATTGTGGCCAGGTGCTTTTTAAGGAAATTAATTTCTGGAATGAGTTGTGTTTGGTTTGGGCAATTTGAGTATGTGGTACTCTTTACTGTAATATGCCAAACCAAGACAGGAGAAAACTAGTTTTGTGAAGGAGTTAAGCTTCAGATGTGTGAAGCAAAGAGTGCAGAAACAGACCCTTTTTCACTAGGACACCTCTTAGAATGAGGAAGCAGTTCTACCAGTAAGAGGGAGAGATTCACAGAGTGGCCCAAACTCTGCAGTCAGTCTTCTTCTTAGAAGGCCCCAATTTTACAAACAGAATTTTTCCCAATGAGGTTGCTCTGAGTGACAGTTCAAGTACTGGCCCAAGAATGACTATGGAGGAAAAGGTGAGCACCAACCCCCAAGCTAAGTTTTACTGACTGCTCAGGTGAAAACAGTATATGAAAATAAAAGGAGATGCTTTTAGCCAGGAAATCAAAGCCTAGGTCTTGTCCTGGGAGCTCTTCTTTTGGGAGACAAAGAGTTGCTATTGGCAAAGCTCTAGCTGCAGTCTACTTACCCTGAGCAGCGCTATCATAGGCAACTCATTGGTTTTTAGCAGTTCTGCTCTAATAGAGCTCCCAACTCCACAAATCACCTATGTGGAGCCAGACCTCTGGTCTGGAGGCCTTTGCATGAGCACTTGGGTTTTGTTTAGCTTACAGTTGCAGTACACACAAAGAGCAACAGCAAGCCCTTATCCTGTCCTGTCTGGCATGGGATGCACACCCTCAGCGACACCTGACAGCACATGGGTGAAGGTCAGAGTATGTGAACATCATTCTTGTAGTGGTGCTAAGGGCAGGTAGAAGCCACAGAGGAATAGACAAACTAAGTTCTAGACTAGAAATTCTTAATTTTGACCTTGGGGGTGTTCTGCGAAGCAGTAGAGAAATCCTCAAGTTTTTATCAGATTTTCAAACCTAAGACTAGAATTTAAAATTAAAGAACTTTTACTTTAGAGAGCAGTGATTCTCACACTTCTTTCACCCTGCATCAGAAGTACCTGGAGGGATTGTTACAACTCTGGGCCCCAAACCCAGAGTTCTGATTAGGTAGATCTGAAATGTGGGCTCAAGATTGTGTATTTCCAACAATTTTCAAGGGAAAGCTACCACTCTTGGTCCAGGGTCCACACCCTGAGAACCATGCTTTAGAGGATACAAAAAAAAAAAAAAAATCAGGAAGAGTTTAAATTCAAATTATGGTCTTCTCTTTTCAGACAAGAGTTCTAATAGATATCACAGCCCTCTAAAACACCCCCAAATCCCAAGGAATTTGAGATTTTATCTTTGGAAATAGCCCTGGGAAAGTGAGACTCCTGACCTCTCTTGAAGGTCAGGAAACATTTGGGAAATAATATTTTGGAGGGCACAGGAAAATGCCTCCAGAAACTTAAAAGACTGGGCAAAACTCAGCTGGAAACTACACAACTGATTCTAGCTGATCCAATTAGTGGGCCAACTGTTGGTGGATAGTGAGGTTTTAGAAAATCTGGGACTAGAGTCTGCCTCCTGAGTCTTGTTGTTGAGCTTATATCTAAATTCATACGGTACTAGATAGGAGGTCTGCTGTAAGGAAGAAAAAATATTTGCAAAGGGCCAGTATCTGGGAAATAAGAGAAGAAAACTGACAACTCAATGAGACAAAGTTCAAGACCCTCGGTCAATGGCAGGAATAGTAAGAGGGCCATGCTTACTTTAAGCAAGAACAAGAAGGGGGGGAAGAGGGAGATGGTGCAAGAGGGGCAGAGGGAGGGAGAGCCATTTAATAGTTTCCTTTAGACCTGCTCTGAGTAAGTCATTCCCCCCATGAATGGGGAGGAAGAAAAGAAAATGTGGATTCATTTATGATTCAACTTTCAGAACAGGAAATGTGGCTTTTGAGCTAGGCAGAAGAACTCTCCTCTATATAAGAAACATTGGTTGTACTGTCCAGCTAAATGCCTGGGTGTGGTGGTGCACACCTGTAATCCCAGCACTCTGGAAAATGAGGCAGGATTGCTGAGTTCAAGGCCAGCCTGGGCTACCTAGTGAATTTAAGGTTAGGCTGAACTACACAGCAAGACCCTGTCTCAAACAAAACTAAACCAAACTGATAAATAAATCATGAGGTAAGGTAATATCAAAGGAGACATTACTTATTAGGGAGACATAGTATGGAGACAGAACCTCACAGGATAGGCAGTATAGTAAGGGTAATTGAGACCATGGTTGTGCTTTGTTATTAGTCTACCTGGACTTTGAATTCTGGCTGTAGAGCACTGGGCATGTTAATTTTTCTGTACCTTACTGTTCTCATCTGCAAAACAGAGGCAATAATAGTGCTTATCTCATAGGGATGCAATAAGAATGAAATGAAATAACATAGATAAAATGCTCAGCTTGGGGTCTTGAGTATTTAAGCGCTCAGTGTTAAAAAGAGTGGTGGGCTTCGAAAAATTTAGGCACCTTTAGTGCCACTGCCAGACAGAAAGTGGAGGTAGGTTGGAGCCACTGCCACTCTCCATGAGAGGCTCACTGGATTCTGTGGTGTAAGTCCAGAAGGATGGCAGAAACAGGATGCCGAATCACTCGGCTATAAGGTGGGGATATTTATTGTTTTAAACAAACACTGAAATGTTCAATGAATCTGTTTTGTGACATTTCTTCACTGGCAATCTAAGTGTCAAACAGTTTGATTTGATCACCACACTGTCTTTTGGGGGGGGTACCAGGGATTGAACCTGGGTCCTTGGGCTTGTGAGGCAGGTAGCGAAACCACTAAGCTAAATCCCTGGCCCTCAAATGGTCTGATTTGAACAAATCAGAATGAGTGAAAATCAATTTTGGTAGGAAAAATGGAGATTTGCAAGATTAAGGTGGAATTCCCATTGTCAGGGAAAAAAATGTGGCTCCTCCTACTTAAATTCCAGAAGTGTAGGGCAACATGCTGAAGTCACAGTGAGGTATGTACTGGCCCTGAGGAGAGCTAGTAGCCTGACACTTAAAAAGGGATCCTTTTCTTCTAATCCCAAATGAGCAGAAATTCTTCCAAAACCCAGTATTCCAAATCAAAAAGTCCTATTTACTTTTCTGGAAAGCAATTGTTACTGGAACTGGTAACGAAACCAGGCAAAAGAGCCAAAATACACTATATATCACATGGTCAAATAAAAATTTATATCCATGGAGGTGGGAGTAGGATGAGACTGCCAATTATATCATGTTTAAAAAGGAAACGCTAAAGAAACGTGGCAAAAGGTTCTTGACCATGTTATGCTGGGCTCTATTCTTGAGGAGCCTTATGGCCCTACTCTAGCCTTGCCTTGTAGTTCATACTAATCCCATGTCTGGGATGTTACCCTTGGGACCCTGTGTTGGGACCTCACCTTAAGGCTTCTTGATCTCAAGCTGATGACTGAACATATTTATCATGGTCCTGTTTGGAGTCTTTAAGGCCATAAAGACAGTTACAAATGGGCCTGGTTTCTGGCTTTGCACTGCCATATATTTACTGGGAGAAAATTTTGGCTAGTTTTCACATGTTTGTGTTCTCAGATGGGGACTCAGGGATTTATTTTATCCCACCTTGAGGAAGTACAGAATCTGGCTTCTTTTTTCAGAAAGTACTCACCTATCTTGTGATCCTAAAATCAGAAGCACCACAGAACTGAAGGCAAACTAGTTTCTCAGACATTCTACCTACCTCTCCAAAACAGCAGCACTATCAGATTTGATTTGTTTTTGTTTTATACCAAGGGATTAAACCAAGGGCCCAGTTTCTGCTGGGTAGAAAGTCATATACCAGCATCCCCAGCTTAGCTTTAATTTTTGGTAGTAAAGTTTTCATTGTTTTTATGATCTGGTAGTTGTCAGATGTGGAAACCACTCCAATCCCACTGTTCTCTACAAATGGGCACTATTTTAGCAAGAAAACCAACAAAACAGTAATTACAATAACAAATTCTCATGGGATTCATCTAGCGAAGCCTGAAATTCTAATACTATGAACCATGCTCCAGTTTTCAGAATATAATGATTGTCATGTATATTTAAGTAACACTGGAAGATTTTCCATAGTATGATTTTTTGCCGAGAACCTTGGAGACTTATTCCTAGACTGCCTTACATCCAGTCTGAAAGTAAAAGCATCAAAGATGACAAAATGGAGCAAACCACAAATAAAACTTCAAATTCTACTTTTAGAAGTCGAAGAAAATGTATACCTGAAGTCTTTGCTGGTTTTTGAACTAAAAGTCAAATGTGGAGTAATTCTCTTCAGTTAATCTGCTCTCCTAGGAAATTCCAATGAAACTATCCCGAAAGATCATCCTTTTGTCATGACTGTTATGAGTAATTTAAGTCGATGTTTGCCATTCTACTCATTAGAAAAGTAGTTTTGAAAGTTGTGTGTGTGTGTGTGTGTGTGTGTGTGTGTGTGTGTGTGTACTGGGGATTGAATCCAGGGCCTGGAGTATGGTAGGTAAGTGCTCTGCCTAACCTCAGGCCCAAGAGATCTCATTGCAAAGCACAATTTCTATTTTCTGTAGAAGATTCTCTTTATCTCTTGTAATGGACTCATTTGTAACTGTTCTACTATCCTAAATCAAATTTAAAATGACAGGAAACAGAAAACCTTCCACAGGAAAGAACATGATCTATAGGAAAAGTTTTTCCTTCTTCAATGTGATGGCTTCATTAACTGTTGCACCATCAGAAAAAAAATGGACTCAAGAAACTGAACAGGAAATTATTTACATAAAATCTTCAAAATATAAATCTGTTTTAATAAAATAGAAAATAGCTTTTTTCCAGCTTGAGAGAACAACTTAATGCCACAGCCAATTAATGATTATAATGGGCAAGTAGTAGTATACCTGATGCCTAATCCTAAAAATAGTTTTCATTAAAAATAAAAATTAAAGAGCCACCGACCCCTCCCCCAAAAAAGCACTGAAACAAGACTGATCTGTTTATATAGTCACATGAAAAATAAACATCTTTATTTTTTTGCCTACTTTATTTCATTTTTTCAAATAAAATTTAAATCTGTACAAAGTATACTGTTACAGTATATATTTTGTAAGAATCAATGCCTAAAAGAATCACAATACTTCAATAAGCAGTACAGCAGACCTCGCTAGTTTCAGCTTTGATATTGAACAAACTCAAGCCGGCTGATGCACAACACATTTGCTTGGTTTCCACATGGTGAGTTCCCAGCACTGAGATGGGAGAACATGACAGCAAATATGGTTATATTACAGCCCAACACACTGCGCTTCTTCATATGATAATATCTGCACATATGCAATACAGAATGCTCAAATTTACTTTTAAATTGCATTTACTTACTTTTTAGTTGGCAAAATTCAACATTCTTGAATGGGGTCCCCAAACAGTGCAAATTAATGATATTCTACTATATATTGGCACATTTCCAATAAGGATTAACTTGTAAACTCAAAGAATATCAACAACTTTGTCCTAAATTTTAACTAATGTACATCTGGTCCATTTAACCAAAGTCATTTTGGAAAGATATTAAAGAACAATTCTATTTCTGAAAGGATATTGTTTTGACCATTTTTTAAAGATAACTTTTTAAATTGTCATTAAAATGTTTTACTATAAAAATTTTACAAACTTGATTAGAAATTTCAAGATGATTCACAGCAGACAAATACAAACTGTTTATATTCCAACAATACCTACTCTTAAGACTTTCAAATAGTGCACAATCATGTCAGCTGTGTTAACTAAAATTCTGAACAGTGTACTAAATTTATAAGTGGTGCTGGGTCTAGCAAGTGTAAATACACAGTATATTTCAATGAAAAGAATTGTCTTCTTTATACTTTATTTGTTTTCCCAAAAGGAAACATTAATGTTTACATTCTTTAATAAAGTTAATCTTACATCAGAATATAACTTAATACTGTCAGCAACAGGGACCACACACAGTAAATAAGAAGCACATTTAAAATAAGTCTGAATTCACATAGATTAACATTTGTTGGTTAATAAAATATTGACAGTATTACAATCTTACAATATTTACAGTAAGAAAAATCTAGAGTAATATATACCTTTCACAGCAGGATTCCTTTTTAAAAATTTCTTCCAGTTTGGGATTGTGTATACACGAAAAGCTCAAAATAAAGCAACTCTGCAATATAATCTTAAAATAATGGCTACTAGGGGGATATTCTATCACAACCATTGAAAATAATGGTGATTTCTCACGGAGTCTGTGGCATCTGAGAACCCAGTTAATTAACCAAAGTCTTGCTCAAACCAGCCTCAGTTACCCAGATTAAAGCTGCAGAACTCCGGCCTTCCCTGACCGCTGAAAACCCAACAGATTTCCTCATCATGCTATAAGAAAAGAGGGAAAATTGGTTTCAGCTCATACCTCATGGCTGGAAGCTTCCGGCCAGTGCACATTCCCTAAATTATGCTTTAAAATGGCCAATTTCATCCCCTTAGCATTACAAGAGTCCATCCTCCATTCACAGTGCATCCTGACACCAAACTCACTCACTCCTCAACCCTTGTGCATTGGGATAAAGCATGAACTTGGCCTATATAATACACACCAGTATCTGAGAGACTTGGGACTGGGGACAAAGAAACAGACTAGTGTAGTTTGCATTGAGATCAACAGGAAAAATGGGAAGTGATGCACATTTCCAATTAGAATGACAAGAAGACCCACATCCCTAAACTGGAACTTGGCCAGGGCATCAGAGTTAGCACCCCCTCTCTGAGTACCACAAGCAATTCGCATGTGTGCTCTGGGCCTCCACTAAGAGAGAGCATCTACATTAAGTAACTCAGTGTGGGACATTAGTTCAGTGACAACTCCCAAGAAAGCAGATACAATTCTTGAATCTGGGGCTGTGTACAACACCTGAGGTCAATCATCTGAGCTGTGACCTGTCCCAATCCTGCTTACTTTATCTGATGGGCACAGAGCACTCAGGGATACAGCTGCTGGCTACTTTGGACTCTAGATCTCACAGGTAATCAACAGGTATCTGGGATTGAATTAGCAAACTGTACCATGGCTCCTTAAACAGACACTGTCAGGTTTGAAATCATGTCAAACATGAATCTTCACTGTCAGGTCAGAAATCAAAATGGGAGTCTTCCCACATCAGCCAAGGTTATTTTGTCAAAACCTTAGAGGAGTTGGACAGTTTTTCATGTTGCAAGTGATTAGTGTACTTATTTCAATCAAGCTGGATTGACAAACCAGACTGATCTATTTAGTTTTGTTTTTGATTCTTACATACGTGTTAACCCAAAGTTGTTACATTTGGGTTAAATACACTGACAGAGAAAATTCAAACAACAAAAGTTTCAGCAAACTTCTGTGGCATATTCTTTTTGGAAGTCAATGCAAGATCTAAGGTATTTCTACCCAACAAGGTCTGTTTAAGTGTTTAATGTTACTTCCTTTATGGTCCTATACAGAATGCTATGACTTCTATATAGGTCTGAATGCTGCTCCATGTAGATTCCTTCTGTATATCTAAAAATATATACTTCTCAGTAGTTCAGTACATGGTTAATCTTCCCACAGAGGAAGATTTTTGTAATCACATGTTGCAAAGTAGAAAAACATCTCCTTTCTAAGAAAGGAAATATACTTTCCTATTGTACACTTTTGAATAAGCCCAAAGGCATGCACCAAAAATCATTATTAAAACTAACACATGCACTAAAATGGTGTAGCGTTAGACTTAAAGTGCTGCTTCTCAATTTTTAAATTTGAATAAATTTGACATTTTGACAGTTGTTGACTCAAATATCTCCCCCCCACACCCCATACCCCATCCTATGGCATCAAGAGAGAAAGTAAAAAGTACGCATAAATCTTTAAACTATCATTTACAAGGGGGAGAGAACGGATATAGCAACTATCCTATGTATAAACTGGATTCCCAGTTTCAAATAAAATCAGTATTTACTGGTAAAAATTGTCAAAGCTAATTTACCCAAACAAATATTTCTAGTAAATAATGTTCTACATAGAGGATAATTTACTTTGGTTTTATGCACCTTCTCAAAAATACTACTAGTGTCCCATACATATTATCACCAAGCTGATGTGTTCCAGCAGTTGTAAGGCAAATCTTTTTTTCCCTAGTGACATCTTGTTTCCCAACAGACAAAACTACAATCTTTTGGTGAGGAAGGGGTTAAGATAATGGCTAACCCCTTGGCATCCTGAGCATTGTGGTTTATCAAACTCTACCCTGCTAGAAGTTGTCAGGCGCCCTGACCCCTGCCTTGAACCAAAAATGGCTCCCATGTCTAAAGATGCCCTGACTCCTTTTAAGTAGCTCTCAGAACTTCTTTTTTTCTTTCTGTCTGGATGTTAAAATGTCTAACAAAGCTGGTTGCAATGTCACATTTTGCTAGTAGGGGCCACCATCTAATAATTGCAATGTGAAATCTTTTAAGCCAGTAGTTCCTAATTTTATCAAAAATTTGCATTAGAATGTTCTCTATAGAGTTTACTTGGAGCATAGATCCTTAACTTAGGTTTCAGAAGATGTGATGACCCTGAGGTTGTATGCAAAATTATCTGTGTATGTGCATTTTTTCCTGGGGAGAGGGTCCATCACTTTTGTCAGATTATCAAAGATATCTGTGATCACCCAAAAAGGATTGCAGGACTTAGAGGGATACCCGTAATTGATTTTATATCACTGGGAGCAGAAAATGAAAACCTCCAAAAAAGAGTTGAGGGAGGCAAATGTTGATTATTTATTCACATCTGGGAAATAAGTACTTCAAACTAGGAAAAATAATTAATTAAGCTGGTTAAAATCCATTTAAAAATAAAGCCACTTTCTAAAATTTTTCCATTTTCCATATATGGAAAATTTAGTCTCCAAGAAAAAATTTAGAGACTGAATTTCGCTCTTTTCCTAAAGGAAATTCAGAGATATAATAAACATCATCCACATTTAAAGACCTGACAACATAAAACTTAGGTAACTCTACTGATGTGAGCCTTTAACTTGAGATTTATATAGGATTATGTAGAGTCAAATCCACATCTGTAAACCTCTATTTCCCCAAATTGGTTTATAGTTAGACAACTACAAACCTAAAATTTAGACAATGGAAGTTAAGTTTTCTAGTCAAATTAAAAACAAAACTATGGGTTCCACAACAGAATCGGTCCATGAACATTCATACCATGCTATAGAGAACATTCTCATTTCAAATACACCACCAAATTTGCAACAGAATTTTCAAATAACAGGTCCAGAATGACTAGCAAAACATGCTGAGAGGATCATGTCAAGAATTAAAACACTACCCTCCCTTCTCCCCAGAAACATATTCGGGCATTATGAAAATAAGATTTGAAAAAGGCCTCTCACTTGTTGGTTTTAAGTATGTAAAAATTATGGGAAAGGGAATATAAAATGAAATAACTAAATAACTTATAAAAAACAATTTCAGCCAAAAACATCTCTCTCTGTTCTACTGACAAAACTGTCAAATCTCTTTTTTTGCAATTATAAACACTGTGTTACACAATCTCACAAAAAATATGCTTACAGGTACACTTTTTGTTCTTTTCTTTTAGAGAACATCTTTGAGGTTATAAGACTGCCTCTGGTTAAAATAAAGTCTCTGATCCCTTGCTGCAACTCCCCCTCAAAAAATGAGTCAATTCTGAATTCCAAAAAGGAATAGTCATTTAATCAATTCTTTCAATATCAATTATATTACACAGACCATGAGGAAACTATATGAACATCATGGAAAACTACATGAAAGAGGCAGATGCCACTTTCCACCTACTTCGGTTCCAGTTTTTTAAGCATGTACCCAGTAAGACTCAAATCTCATTGACTAAAGTGGAAACAAACCAACACTCCAAAACCAGGCTATCTGAGGCTGGAAGCTAGATCTCAAAGATTTACCTATCCTAAGCTTTTACTTTATTTAAAGCGCTTAGTAAAGCTCACATTTACAAAGAATTTTATTGGTAAATCAAGGGCCTTATTAAAATATTTATCAAAACAAATTTCTGTATTACATAGCTAAGATTAAATATTTTTTGGCTTTAAAAAGTATATTTAATTGCATATACATTTTACTTTGGGAGGGATATTGAAAACATAATTCTGCAAGAAATTAGAAAAGACTAGAAACAAAAGTGAAAGTGACTAGTCTTAACTTTCAGAAAATCAAGTGCAAAGATAAATAGTGCAAATAATGAAAAATAGAAATTTTATAGGCAACTTTACATAGTCTTTCTTACTTCTGCACTTTTACATACTGACAACTTTAAAAACCCTAACAACTATGCAGCATGGAAATGGGCTATCATTTATTTCCACTAACTAGACTCAAGAAAGCCTTTCAAAGACTTGTCTCACAGTTATTTAAATCACTGGTTCTTGACACAGGTTTGGGAATTCACTTCTTTTAAGCCAATTCCTAAAGGAAGAACTACTTAAAACGACTCTGTGCTGACTTAAGTTATAGTATGTTACTGTATTATAACTTGAAATGTGACACACAATAAAATGTGAAAATTATACTAAGTGCCAACTCTATAAAATAAGCAATATAAAAATAATCTTCCTATTGTTAATGAAGTTGACATGTATAAAAAAGAAAAATTACCTTCTAAGGACAAAATCAGAACCTATTTTTTTGGGTATTTTTAAAGAGATTTTTATCACGAATGTACAGAGATCTGATTAAAATGGATCTTGAAAATATATGTCAAAATCACTGAGAATAATTCATACTAAATTTACCAACAAAAAGTTAACCCAAATATATCTGAATTACATAATTAAAATATCATAGCAATTCTTTATCGTAAATAATTTAAAACACTCCTGGAATTATGAGAACAGAATATGAAATGGTTACCTCACTCTACAAAAGAACGTAAGAACCTCCAAGATATACTAAATTATGTAATTAACATCCTCCACCAACAAACTCAGGAAGTCTACAATTTTAAAGTAAGAGAAAAAGTGGAAAAACAAACAGAAACATGAATTTAGGGGGTATATCATCTAATTTCAGAAATATAGTATCATCGAAGGCCTCATCAAATCCACAATGTAAAATGGTTGCCAATATTGTAAATGTAGAAGAAACAGACAAGGTACTTTAAAAATTACAACTTAGTGCTTTCATCTGGTTAACTGTCTTCTAAGAAACTAATGTGGACCAAAGGCTAGAGTTTATATAGAAGGAAGGATCTTTGGATACAGATCTAAAGGTAAACTACATTGTGACAAGAGCCCAAGAAAATATAGTCTGTAATAATAAATACTACTGATAGTTTAAAAATGGTTAACTGTGAAAAAGTTTGAAACTTTCATATCTTCTTTTTCTCAAAATAGTAAGTACTTAGCACCAACTTGCCATTACCAGAAAAGCTGCCATTCTAACTCGTCCCAGAAAAGCAAACATCTTATAGGTGGAAACAGATGCTGCATATACAGCATCAGCATCATCAACATCATCATCATTGTAACTAGCTACTGATCAACAGTTTTCTCTCGCATCACTGAAACCTCCTTAGTAAAGATCAACTTAATTGTTCTTAGTAAACAACTCTCATACAGACTTCACCTTAGCATCTTTTCCTATTCCAATAAAAATTCTCCCCAATTTACCTCCAAACCATTCCCTATGTACTTTTCATACCTCCATTCACAAACACTTTAAACAGCTTTCCCCCTCCTGCTCTCAAACTTCCAAACCAATGTCTCAGCTCCCAGAAATGTAAGTAAAAGACACATACTTCTAACACTCTTCAATTCAAAAAAATTTAACACTAATTAAATGCTCTTCAAATTGTCAACTTAAGTCTTAAAGGGAAAACAGCAGAAAAAAAAAATACTGCCCAATTACCTCACAATAAAGAAATCTTTCTGGATCATCAGTTAGCTATGTTCTAAGGCAGGAGTCAGCAATGTCTTTACTTCTTTCTGAAGGGGGTAAGCTTGAGTGCCACCAGCAGACCTATGGCAAGAATAAAGAAAAAGAAAGAAACAAGGAAAAAAGGAGGATAGGAGAGACAAGATGTCAGATGTATAAAATAAGTGGTAGCTTAAGAGCCTCCAACAACTAATTGCACTTGAAATTGCCAATCCACTTCAGCTAAATGGGAGTATGACCCAACTTCAATATGAATTTAATACATCATTACCAGGTCATCACTATTTGAGCTAGTCTAGGTGACTAGAAGTCATCTGTGCCATAACTTTAACTGCCACTTCACAACAAAAACATCTACCTAGAAGCTTTCTGGTTAATACATCTTGGATCAAAATATATACTAACAAGAATATTTTCATGTTTTTCACAAATCTAGAATAGAAGGTCTTGGTCCTTAAACAGAGAAGCTTCCTGACTATTAAAGTAGACCCTAAATAAAGATAATTAAATTTTCCATTGTGTTACAAAAACTTAATTAGTAAGTTACTAGTGATCATCAAAACAAAGTATGTATTCATGAAAGCACAAAAATCCTGTGATTCCAAAATGAATAAAGCATTTCTGGTCTATAAGAAACAACTTTATTTTACATAGATGATCACCACGTTTCTACCTATAAGTAAGACAATGTACCACAAAAGCAAAGAATTCCAAGAAAAAGGAAGGGCAAAATATCAAATGTAATATGGATATAAAATAAAAATGAACGTGCAGCTACTTCTTGTTTTTAAAATGTTTTTACTAAGCAACGTTTGCCATACTCAGCTTTCCTAAAGAAAAAAATTGCTTATATCATTTAACATCAAAATCTGGTAGTCAGTTTGGCAGATGAAAGATGACAAAGTCTTGGCTTAGAACCCGTATTTTCCACATTTCATCTGGTTGTTCTTGCATCTTGAAATTCTACCTGAATTCTACTTGGGTTATGCTAGCCTAGATCATCTTCACTTAGCCCATATTAATGAAATTTTTGTTAAAAAAAAAGCCAAATGGCCAACACCTTAAAGTTAGGTTTTGCTTTAGGATCCAATAACTTCATAAATAGAAAGATCAGCTCTTCTTAAAAGTACATCACAAAGTCTGCAAAGGTGACTCTCTGGTAATTAATACTGCTGAGTGAAAACAGTAATTTTAATAGCAATGATCGCTTTAGTTTTAAGTGTTTTTCATTGCAAGTGGCCTAAATCTGATTAACAAGTAATGAATAATATAAAAATATAATGCATGATTTAAATTGATAAAATTTAATAGACAATTTTCCACAAACACCTTTGGTGTATTTATTTGCTTAAGCAATTTCAAAAAATCCTCTCCCAGATTTTTTCTGTTCATGACAAAGTATATATATCTCCAAATTATTTATGATATTCTAAGTTAGGGATAATCAAGTATAAAAGTTATACTCAGAGTCATCACCACATTAAATTTAAGTTGCTAAAGATGCCCTTATTTTGGCATTCTTTTAAATAGCAAGATCTCACTCTGATATTCAAAAGACTTTGAAAAAGGAAAAAAAATCATTAGATTTAGTATCTCTTTATGGAGAAGAAAATCTTACAAATATGCTCACGTTTAAAAGAAATTATGAAACTAAGAAAGATACCACAGCAGCAAGTCAAAAAGCTCCATTCTAAAATCATCTGGAAATGTGTGTGCTTAATACAAGAAAAAAAGTGTAGAAGAGAGGGCAATCCATGTGTGGGAGATAAAAATAATAATGCTTATGGTGGAGTCACCATCACTAGCAGATAAACTGTCATGAAAGAAAAATGTATTGGTTTGGAAAGTTTCAATAGTGCTAAAATACAAAATGTTAAAGCACAGAAACAAAAATGAATGAGATAAACTTTCCAAACATCAAGTTCCATAAGAAATGAAGAAAACAGAAATGAAGAAATCTTCTTGAAACATAAAGTATTAATTCTTAACTGACTTATAAATGACATAAAGTGCTTGGGCTATCCTACCCACCCAGATTCTATCAACAGATTTATCTTTCCCCCTCCCTTCCACCCAAATTTAGTTTCATTTTCCTGCAGAAAAAGTATAGCATCCCTATGTTAATAAGAAATGAAAACAGTGAGTACAACTGATATAGATCCATTGACTTTTATTACAAATGTACTTGATCACTTGGCTTCAAAAAGTTTAAAATCAATACCCTATTTTCTGTATGCCAGTACAAAGCAAACTGTTTTACAAATTAAATACCTAAAAATTTGACAAAATATTAAAATTTGATGAAAAACAATTATAAAAATCCTTAATCTCTCTTCAAAAAGGAGGCAGTCTTCCCAGTCTTATTATACAATATTTCTAATATTCACCATTTTTAGAATAGGTAGCTAAATTATATTTTTCTGTCAGCATAAAAAACTCTTAAACTAATAGATTTTATTTGTATATGCTCCAGTTAAGTTCATGAATGACATCTGACTGCAATATAATCAACTATCTTTAATTGAATTCTAATTTACACATATTTAATAATTTGCATAGTTTGAAAGGGATAAAGGTAATTCTAAGACTATCATAGGCTATTACAGTGCTATTTTTCAAGGCAATAAGTATTTGCTCCCAAATAAAATTATCTGTCTTTAGGCAGGGTTTAAAAATACTAGCAGCTTTCTCCATTACCTGAAAAATCAAACTGGAATAGTTATCCACCTCTGGATATGAAGGCCTAAAAAAACATATTGATATACTTTCCATTTTGAGTCAAATTTCAACACCTGCACGGGACAACTAGAAAGTGAGACAGGTTTTTAAATTTCCCTGTTGATTTTGGTTTCTACTTTCCATGGCTTTTGAGAAGCTGGAAAACAGTTTGTCTTTCCTGACTATAGCATTCTGTTTCTCCATTTGGCAAATATGCATCTACCTCCAATCTGTAATTTAGTAGAGGAAAAGCCGATATGGCTTTTCTTGTGAACTTCCTTTGTTGTCAAAGGTAAGTATAATGATTTCTACAGTTCTGGTTAGTTAACTTTAGCTCCCTCTGTGGCTGGATGACTGCTGTTTCTAACATCAGCATGATAAATAGGAGGTACAAATAAAAAGTAGCTTAAAAAAAGATTTGGTGATTTAAAAAAAAAACTCACAATGAACACCACCACCACCACCACCACCACCACACACACACACACACACACACACACAAGCATTTCAAATCTGGTGGCTGATCTGTGGATTAAATTACTTGACAGTGTCTCTCATTTTAAAGAATGTCAATACTGAAATGCATTTCAAGTTTTCTTTTACTTAGGCAAATAACATAGCTTAACCAAGCTCTTGGACCTTAATTATAAGACAGAATAGATCAATAAAAATAAGGCATACTTTTCAGGAATTAAGTTTTGTTTGCTTGTTTTTGGCACATTTGATCATACTGTCTTTGATGAATAACACATATGGTCAAATATACCATTTTTTTTTTCAGCACAAACAGGGCTTACCAACTAGTAAAATAAAAACAAGGAAAAATTCCAACATGAAACACTGAGATATAGAACCTTGGTAAAGTACTGAGCACCTGGGGGTGGGGGGGTAGAGGAAAGATGAAATAGGAGAATACAGAAAGGAAGGCTGGGAAGGTGTTTGGGGAGGTAAAGTGAGATGCTTTAAAAAAAAAAGAGCATCTTTACAGTCACTTAGTCTTTTCTGTGATCACTCCTTAAGTCTTAAAAGATCTGCATGTGGATTTCTTTTTAAATCCACTGACCATGAATTAGACAATGGTTTCAAAATCCTAGTAAGATTGTGTTCAACTGTTATAGTGTAAAGATAATTGCACAATAAATGTGCTTCTTGATCCGGTAGGATTCCAAGCAGAATCTGAAGTCTCTTAAGTTAAGAAAAAGGCTTCACTTTAGGTAACTCTGACCCTAAAGAAAACCTCATGAAAGAACTCACATCTCAAAGAAAGGACACTTTGCCTAAGTTTGCTGTGTTTTTTTGACTTGCACTACTTATTGCTGGCTACTATGAAACACTGATCTAGGAGTACTCCAACAACCTGTAGTACAAGGCTTTAAGACGCTATAGTAAACAAGAGACAAAATCAAAGCAATTCTCTTTCCTAATTAGTAACAGCACAGAGAATGCAAACTTTTCCATATCACAGTTAAAGTACAGTGAACAAAACAGCTCAACAAACCTTAAGACAAAAAAGTGCAGGTTATTAATGTTTACATGCAGTTGATAAGCATTCCAAATGTCACATTACACACTGTAAAAGCTCAACTTTACTATATGAAAATAAGAAAAATGCACCTTGGGGAAGGGGAAAAGCAATTTAATCATTTCCAGTGATTTTGTAAGTAAAGAAACTCCTAACTACTGTACGGTCACCTCATATTTAACATTGTATGAATATTAAAAGCAAACAATTTAATGAGAAAATGCACAGTACAATGAAAATAGCTTGCTATTCAACACATACAGTAGATCTCAAAAACAAAGACAACACACTCAACCAGGGAGCTTAAAAATATCAAATCAAAACCCAAAGAACCAGCAGAAAAAAAATCCTTCAAAAAGACAACTGTTTCACCTTCCTAGGCCAATGCTTTACAATAAGAGAAGCACCGTTAACCTTCCCACTCCTACAGGTGGAGTCTTCTACATACAGCAGTTAGATCTATATGGCTGGATTTGCCAAGAAACAATTCTATCCCCAGAACTCTGTCAGACAAGATCCAAGATCCTTTTTTTTTTTGTTTTTTTTTTTACCAAAATACTTTCTACAGAATTCCAAACCAAAATGTACTGTTTAAGGCATCTTTTTTATAACATTTTCTCTTCACTCAAAGATGATAGTCATGCAGCAGTTTAATGATAAAAATATATTAATATTTTACTATACAGCAGCAAGAAGTTAGTTTTCAATTAAAAGCACACAAACATCTTTAAATGAAAATCTTTAAAAGACTATCGTTACAAACAATTTCAGTATGGAGGACACCAGCTTGGTAAAGCTCTCTCCTAAGCTTTGCATTTTTCATACCCTATGCTTTGAATATATGAGTTATAGAACATACTTTTGATAGAAGGCTTGTACACTTGGGGAACACAAAGACACTTAGCATAGAATGTAGCCAGTAATAACTAGCACCACAGCTACATGGAAATCCTTTACATACACCAACTTGGCTCTCACTTTTAAAACAAAACTCAGAATCCATGGCTCAGTAGGATAACTATAATTGTGTTGCTCTGCTTTTTAAACAGGTCTACATAAGTTAATAGCACTGGCAAAAAAAAAAAAAAAAGGATAGATTTAGACCTCTTACAAGTTTAGGAGACAGTGCTAGTGACCACAAATAGACTCACTACCTGATGTCCAAGTACAGATTCACTGGAAATTGCTGCACGTTAAAGTTAAGTTTTTAAAATCTTTCTACACATAATAAAAAAAATATATTATGAACAATACAAGTACATCTCATATACACAATAACAAAACGCCTACTCAGTCAAAGCAAACAGATGCAGAAAAATATTATGGGAGATTTCCTTTT